AGGGGGGGGGGGGGGGGATTTTACTAATAGAGAGAAAGAGAATACAAATAGGGTTTACAATCTCACAAAATCTTATAAATAAAACCCTCAAACAAAGCTCTCAAATCTCTCACCAATTCTCCCTCAAAAGTGCTCAAAACCCTCTCAATGTCTGCTCAAATTCTCTCATTGAAACCCTAAGAAAATGTGTTCCTATTTATATCAAAACAGAAACCCAAACCAATCAGGAAACTGAAACAGGGTCCAAATCCGTGATCCGGTCGACCGGGCATGAGCATTCGGTTGACCGGCCAGAAGGACAAAATTTAACCCTGTAAAACAATCAGGGTTCGGTCGACCGGGCTTCTCCTCGCGGTCGACCGACCAGAGGGACTGATTTCTCAGCCTGTAGTGTGCACGTTTCCGGTCGACCGGCCTAAGCCCGCGATCGACCGGCCTAAGCCCGTGGTCGACCGGCCTGCACCAAAAACTATCTCTGTTTTGTTTTTCCTGTTCTCTTTCGCTGTTTTCGCCGTTTCTACAGCTTCGTCCTGGATATGGTATTGCGACGACACGAAACATGTTGAGATTTTCATTGCAGAGATCAGACTGCATGTCTGGATTCAGGCTATTCAGTCTTAATATGATTATTATCAAGCAAATGATTAAATAATCCATAGAGATGTTCACAAGAAAAGTCACTTCCATATTAGGTTTTTTACTAACAAAATGGGGTATCAGCCAAGAAGTTTAGTATACTCAAATATGCTCATTGCATAATGCATCATGTAAGTATTCTAAGATATTCTATTCATAAAGGTTAAAAAAAATCCATAGAGAATGATATGACAAACAGACCATAACTCAATGGTGTAAGGGGCCCTCCGTTTCTATACAAGCATTAAAAAAAACATAAACTTAATCATCACTTTCAAGATAATTAAGGGAAAGAAACCGAGCCAAAACATTGTTTTGGTTCTGCACCTACTGAGTAAGACAAAAAGGTAAAACAACAATTCGTTCTCAATTTTCCACCATAAAGAATTTTTCTTTTGGGAAGTGCAACGTTGAACTCCAAACATGACTGAAGAGAACAAGAGCTGAAGAGAAAACAATGCATATATTTCTGTGAAGAGGTTGGCCTTGAGAACAATACTAACATCGTGTGTTCTTGTGATTATTGTTACAACAGAAAATAAACATAAGATCGACCAAACTAGCAGCCGCTACCCTTCATAAGATCTCTAACGAAGGAATCAAGATTCTCCGAGGAAGATCCACCAGCTGAGATAGCTCTACGGGCAGAACCTCGGAGTCCTGCAGCTCTTCTCCTTATGTCCCTACTATCATCACCATCCGAATCGATCAACTTCTTCACAAGCAACGCGATCTCCTCTCTGCCAACCACACCTTCCCTCCCAGCATCTCCTCTCAAATTCAACCCAATCTTCCATTCATCAACAACAAGCCTACTAGCCACTGGCTGATCCCAAAATATCGGGAAAGTAAGCATTGGAACCCCACAAAATACACCCTCTAACGTAGAATTCCATCCACAGTGAGTCAAGAATCCCCCTATCGAGTCGTGGTTCAAAACTTTCAGTTGATCGCACCATGGAACTATGATCCCCATGTCGCCAACCATTTCTTGCAGTCTCGAAGAAGAATCTCCACGAGCCACCCACATGAATCGTACCCCGCTCAATCTTAGACCTGTTGCAATCTCGTCCATTTGAGCAACCGAGACTGAGAGAAAACTACCCAACGAGACGTAGAGTACTGTTTTCTTGGGTTGTGAGTTTAGCCATCCTTGGATGTGGTCTATGTTGTTATTATTGTCTCTGAGATGCATGAAAGGAATAGAAGGGCCAATTGTGTACACTGGGCAGTGAAGTTGCTCACGCAATGCATCGATTATTTGGGACTCGAGCTCGTAGAAGGAAGTAAAGAGGATGCATTGTGCTCTTCTTACCATCGAAAAGGCTTCCAATGATCGCTTCAGAGGTCTATAAGCGTTGAGAACGGAGTTTAGATCAGATAACCGCAACGATTTGTGACCAGGAATATATTTGCCGAGAGGCTCATCTGCTTCTCCTGCAAACAAACAAGCTTAACCATGAGTCCTTTTAGTAGATATTCAAGTATACTTGTAACGGTAATATTGTGTTCATCTTGTTGCAATATAATTCAAGCTTCTGCAGTCCACGTATTTAGGCTGAATAAGTCAGAAATACATAGCTATTTCTTAGGTAGACTTTGTCAATTCTGTTGCTGTTTTTTAGCTAATTGTTAGGTGATTATTTATGTTTTTTTGTTTGAGTCAGTTTGTAAGCCACTATCTTAGGCATTATTAGTCGTGGATAGTGGAGTTAGTTAGCCAAGTTTAGTAGTCTATTTAAGCTCTGTAATGTTCTGAATTAAGAATTCTCCATATATAAAAACTAACATTTGGTATCAGAGCCATAGAGAGAATTCTTGGGTTTGGTGAGTGTTTCGTGTGAAAGATAAAACACAAGGGAAACACAAGTCTGTTAGTGAATCATTCATCATGCAGAACAACAATGGGAATGGGAATTCACTAAATCAGTTACCTATCTTTAAAGGGGTGAACTATCATTTTTGGAGCCTAAAAATGAAGACTCTCTTCAGATCTCAAGAGCTGTGGAATACTGTTGAGAGTGGCTTTGAAGATAATGGAACTGAGGAGCCAGACCAGGAGTTGAGGGAGAAAAGAAAGAAAGATGCCAAAGCACTTTTCATCATTCAACAGGCACTTGATGAAGAAGTGTTTCCACGCATTGCAGCAGCTTCTACAGCAAAAGAAGCATGGAGTACTCTTAAGCAAGAGTATATGGGAGACAAGAAGGTTATTGCTGTCAGATTGCAATCCTTGAGAAGGGAGTTCGGAACTTCTCAAATGAAGGACAAAGCGACAGTTCAAGAGTACCTCTCAAGAGTCTCTAGTATTGTGCAACAGATGAGGTCATATGGAGAGGAGGTCAAAACTCAGCAAGTTGTGAGTAAGGTATTAAGAAGCCTTACAAAGAAGTTTGATTATGTTGTAACAGCAATTGAGGAATCCAAGGATATGGAGACCTACACGTTTGATGAACTTATGGGATCTCTTCAAGCACATGAAGAGAGACAGGCCAGAGGAGATGACAAGAAAGAAGAGAAGGCTTTCCAAGCAAAAGGAGAGTCTTTAAGCAAAGAAAGATTTCAACAGAATTCAGGCAGAGGTAGAGGCAAGGGAGGCTCAAGAGGAAGAGGCCGTGGAAGGGGACAAAGTAATGATGGAAGAGATCAGTCTTCTCAAAATTACAAAAGTCCTCTCAAATGCTACATTGCAAGAAGCCAGGGCATAAAGAAGCCAGCTGTTGGAAGAAAGAGGAGGACGAACAGAAATGTAAGCAAAAGTCTAACTTTGTAGAGCAAGAAGAAAAATTGTTCTTGGCACAGAATGCATCAAGCAATGATGCAGGATGTGGCATCTGGTATGTTGACAGTGGGTGCTCAAACCACATGTCAAGTGCCAAATCAATGTTCAGAGAGCTGGATGAGACAGCAAAGAGCAAAGTCAGACTAGGTGATGGAAAACAGCTTGAAGTAGAAGGCAGGGGCACGATTGCAATCACAACTGGGCAAGGTAACACCAAGCTCCTATGTGATGTGCAGTATGTGCCAAAATTAGCTCACAATCTCCTTAGTGTTGGTCAACTCCTCAACTCTGGCTATCATGTGCTGTTTGAAAATGAATCTTGTCTTATTTGTGACAAGAAGACCAAAGAAGTTGTTGTGAAGATCCCAATGAGAAGAAACAGAATGTTTCCTCTAGATTTGTCAGGCCACGTGAGCAGAGCCTTGATGGTCAAGGGGGATGAAGATGCCAAGCTATGGCACCTAAGGTATGGTCATCTGCATATGCAAGGACTGAAGTTGCTGCAGTCCAAAGACATGGTGCTTGGATTGCCTAAAACTGGAGAGCTTGAGCTGTGTGAAGGTTGCATCTATGGGAAGCAATCAAGAGGATCATTTCCAAGTGGAAAAGCCTGGAGAGCAAGTGAATGCCTTGAACTTGTCCATGCAGATTTATGTGGCCCAATGAAGACAGTTTCACTAGGTGGAAGTAAGTACTTCTTGCTCATTACAGATGATTACAGTAGAATGAGCTGGGTTTATTTTCTTAAAGCTAAATCTGAAGCGTTTGATTGTTTTAAGATTTTTAAGGCTATGGTTGAAAAACAGTCTGGTTTGTTTATAAAAGCATTAAGAACAGATAGGGGTGGTGAATTCTTGTCAAATGAGTTCATCACATTCTGTGAGGAGCATGGCATAAGAAGAGAGCTGACTGCACCTTATACTCCTGAGCAAAACGGAGTAGCTGAGAGGAAGAACAGGACTGTGGTTGAAATGGCAAGGAGTATGCTCAAAGCTAGGGATGTGCCAAACAAGTTCTGGTGTGAAGCTATAGCAACAGCTGTGTACATTCTCAATGTCTCTCCCACAAAGGCAGTCTTGAACAGAACACCACTAGAGGCTTGGAGAGGAAAGAAACCTTCTGTAAGTCATTTGAGAATTTTTGGTTGTACAGCTTATGCATTGGTTGATTTGAGGTCTAAGCTAGATAATAAGTCAGTGAAATGTATATTTATTGGCTATGCTACTCAATCAAAGGCATATAGACTGTATAACCCACTGACTGGCAAGATAATTATCAGTAGAAATGTTGTATTTGATGAAGATGCAGGCTGGAATTGGGAGGAAAGTGAAGTCAGAAAAAATGTTCAGCAGAAATCAGTCTGCTTTGATGGTTCAGAGGAGGATTCAAATGTGCCAGAGAATGATCATACTCCAAGTCCTCCTTCAACACCATCATTATCATCCGGTCAGGGCTCATTATCTCCTTCTAGCTCATCAAGTGATTCATCTCCAAGGAGATACAGGTCATTAACTGACTTGTATGAAAATTGTGATTTTGCATTAATGGCCACAATCCTGTCTGCTTTGAGGAAGCTGAGAAAGAAGTTGAGTGGCAGAATGCAATGAGAGAGGAGATCAGGTTCCGATCGCAACATTCTCTTGTCACGTTAATATCAAACACCTCTGACAAAATCAACTTATCGACTCTCCCTAATAGAGCGATAGGTCTTCAAAATTGCTCCGATCGTAATATTCTTCTTGTCACGTTAATATCACACCTCTGACAAAATCAACTTATCGACTCTCGTCAATAGAGCGATAGGTCCTCAAAGTTGCTCTAATCGCAACATCATCCTGTCACGTTAACACTAAACCTCTGACAACAATCCACTTATCAATCCTCGTCAATAGGATGATAAGTCCACAAAGTTGCTCCAATCGCAACACAAATCCTGTCACGTTAACACTAAACCTCTGACAAAACCCACTTATCAATCCTCGTCAATAGGGTGATAAGTCCACAAAGTTGCTCCAATCGCAACATAAATCCTATCACGTTAACACTAAACCTCTGACAACCCACTTATCAATCCTCATCAATAGGATGATAAGTCCACAAAGTTGCTCCGATCGCAACACAATCCTGTCACGTTAACACCATACCTCTGACAAATCAACTTATCAATCCTCTTCAATAGGATGATAAGTCCACAAAGTTGCTCCGATCACAACACATTCCTGTCACGTTAACATCATACCTCTGACAAAATC